CTTGGTAAATTCTCAATAATTATTGCTGGAAGGTGGAAAGAGTCATATATCATCATTGACTGGAGAAAATAATAAAACTATAGAGAAACTTCCACAGGCTGATTCTAGTTCCATTATTTATTAACTGTGACTGAATCAGGCAAAAATGGGGCCTAATATTAAATATTACACAGACTCACAGGGGTTGAACAACGGATTACATGTCATTTGGGACTCACGTCATTTGGGACTCGCGTCATTTGGGACTCAAAAAAAATATGACCACGACATTTGGGACTCGGGTATACGACGTTTGGGACTTTGGTATACGTCGTTTGGGACTCGGGTTAACGACGTTTGGGACTCGGGATAATTTATTAGAAATAGGCCAATTCAAAACACGAAAGAAAATATTTAATAACATGAAACACGTGGTTAGTAAAAGGCTCAACCAAACGATAAAACATTAGTTGCACTTACGGTTCTTTGATAATCATCGTTTCTCATAAAAGTTTTATATTTATTTAAAACGAATAATATGCTGATGAATTTATTTGAAAATGACCTACACAAAAAACAAAATAAATATTTACACGACATGCAATCTTTTTTTACAAGCCCCTAGAAATTGTTAACGATAATCCGTGAGCTGCACGTTGACATGCTTGTCGTAGATGGCAATACCAATTGATAAATTAGTGCGTACAAGGCAAAGTTTTTTTGTGGAAAATATAAGAAATGGCAACGAACAAAGCGGGATAATTAAAGCTGATTAACTGATAATCCCAATGTTATTACAGTATGTTCAAAGAAACATAACGGTTCTTTGGTGGATGAGGAAAAACGTGAGTTGTCAATCATCGAGAATGGCGGCCGTGTGTTGATTGCAGTTATACCGTTTCACGAAAAAACATTAGCAGTGGTCGGTCAATCAAGCTCGTTTACTATTTATAACGCAAATTTTTCGTTTCGGTTAAAACAAAATATACGTCCATTTTAATTGGTCGAAGGATGTGTGACTAATAGAAATATGGCGGGCGGACAAACTGACCAAACAGTATATTTCGGGGTATTTGAGGTAAGCTAATTTAATATTATATCATAACTGCATGTGCATACTTGTGTTTCTGTGTGATTAAATATTCAAAAAATCATTCTTAGTATACAGCCTCGACACCAGTCCGCCTTGAATTGCAATGTTTGTTTTGTGTTCTGGGCGCCATTTTGAAAAAAACTGACATGACCTATATAATACAATCCAGCGATAGTGCAGTCAATTTCCTTTAAAAGGGAATCCGAATTTGTTAATTTTCTGCAATATCACTTCGGTGGTAGCGGACGTTAAATAAAGCTATTTCACGTACAAAGACCTACAATAAAATCCAGGTGAATTGGGAAAAATATTCATGTATTTTCTTGATGAAGAGTAGCTATTTCAATTTGTAAATGCCCAGTCATCTTAGACAAATAATAATTCCAACTTCAAATCAGTTGTATTTATTCAAATCATACTATGAATAATTGTATTTTTCCACTTGCATAATAAAAAAAACTTGACTTTTATTATTTTATTTCTTCAGGCCAAGAACATGGAAAATTGGTAATTGCCTTGTATCACTGCTAACTATAAGGCACAGGGAGCCTTGGGCAGAAATGATAATAATATGGTTCTCAGATATGTTACTGTGTACAGACTGAACAAAAAATATATATACACTTGCTATTACATGTACATTATATCATTGGCAATAATAAGATCCAATTTTAGTTTTTAGTTACACACTGTTAAACCACCAATAGATGACAATAAATCATAAAATGTATTCAGCTCGACGTAAGACTTAAATAAATAGATACAGTTGGTTTAACTTGAATAGAAGTTTTAATTATCTATGCTGCATATATGCATATATCACCTTGCAGCTGAATCACATTACATATCTTTTTAGTTGATGTTCATATCGTCTTACGTATTTGTCAACATCAATGTTACCTCGAATTTACTCACCACACCCTCGCATAGTTATGAATTTATTGTTCCACTTGACTAAAGAAACATTTTGTAGGAATGTATGCTTTTATAGATTGGACACTTGTTTGCAATATCATTGTCGGTGGAAACTGGCACTATACCTAAAGAATGACCGAACAAATAGCGGAGACGGGGTTTCAGCCGGCTGATTTAAATTATTTCTTTAAATACAGTAAAGCTTGAAATATGTCAGTTTTCACTCTTTAGAATGTTTTTGTAAATAAGTTTTTATTGTAGTTTCCGTGGCGTATTCCCAATAAGCGTTAGAAACAAAGATATTCACCCTTAATCCCGGTGCCGATAAATGTTGGGTTGTGTGGAACATGCTAACAAATCTCGGGTACGATATATGTTTGATTCTGGTTGAGAACAGCATGAGAGCAACATGGATGTTTTCATTGGAGATGAGACGCAAATATTCAAAGGGGTCAGACAAACTCTAAACCAACCGCGTTCCCTTTACTGAGTCCCTTCAAAGGAGGCCCTGTCTGTCTACCTGTGGAATAACATGCATTTGTATCTGTTAAATTTGCGTGGTAGACAGATTGATATTATTTATATAACGTCTTACCCCAAACAAATTGCAAAAGAAACCATGAAGTTTCTGAGAGCGATATTTCGTAATTAGTGTGCTTTAATGGTGGGAGAATAAATAATTTCTTTTTAAATTTTTCAAACACAAACTGGTCATATATAAAATAGCATTTTCTGACAAGACCAGCGATAATCTCGTAAGATATGACTTTTACTATGTCTATTAAATGGTTTTCGACGTCTCTTCAAGGTCACCGTCTTGCGCCAAAGTCGTGAAACGCACCGTCGAGGGAATTGTTGGGGCCTGTCTCCCCCAGAAAAATTTCTAGAAATTTCAAGTCGGTCTTGCCTGGCCGTGAATACGGCAACCTGAAAGTGGTCGATTTTAATGTAGACATCTGAACTCCAATCAACAAATCAATCAACCAGGCTGTTGTCGTTGCATTCACATGACACCAGACGTGTCACCGATGAAACAAATATGCCTGAAACAAATGTCGCTGTTAGTGCGACCCATTTGTGACAATTTCAAGGTCCCAAATAATAGTCCTTTTTTACTATTAATAGTAATTCAATCAGTAAGTGCTATTTACCTTATAATAGTCGTCTTGGCTTTTACCCGACATTACACAAAACACCAATGGTAACTGTCGGGTGGTCTCTCCAGTCTTAATGAAGGCGTGGATGGAAAACAGCTGAGACCATGGCTTGTTCACCACCCGAAAAGTTGCATCCATATACCAAGTTTTTGCGCGTGCGAGTAGTTGCATCTGTCTATCAGTACAAAAAATGTGATGGCGCCTTTCCCCAACTTTTACTCTTTTTTGATAAAATCCCGGTGCACTATGATCGATGAAATCTTCGTCAGGCTAAAACAAAAAATAAATAAAAAAGTACATTTAATTACATTTTAATAAATAAATAAAATTGTACATTTAATTACATTTAATTACATGTTAATAAATAAATAAAATTGTACATTTAATTACATGTTAATAAATTCTTATATACATGGGTATTTAATTGCATGAATACTTACGCTTGACAACACGTCAGTGGGATCTTTTGGTCGCAGAGTCTGTCGGGTTCTTTGTAGCGACCTTACAAGTGCTGCCATGGGTGGTCTGCTATGAATGGGTTCTTCTGCAGAACCGACACTGGATAAAACTCTCTCCGCTAATGAGGAACATGACTTGGTAAAAACATTTCCTTTGGCTTCATGCTTTGCCTGTAATGATAAGATAAAACATATTAAACTACAAATATATTATTGGTTTATTTATATTTTATTTATTTACACACATATATAAATTTTTAATTTAATTGATATATAATTTTTAAACCTACTGTAACTTTCATCTTGGTAGCCGTGTGTATACCGGGTTCTGCTGGATTACTGTTGCCGGACATCGTGTTGGTCCGCTTCTTTTGGAACACCTCCAAATCGTAGTTTTCTTCTCTGTCTAAAATATATTAAATTCATTTATTATTATAGAGTTAACTAGGTTAACTAGAGTTAATTATCTTTACATTTTGTAGCTGAAATACATTTCTATACAAGGTAGTTAACTAGGTAAAATAAATCACCCTACCTTAATTGTATAACTAAACCCTTAATGTTAATTAAGCATGATTTCAGAAAAATTGAACAGATTTGATAATAACATGCCGAAATTTTTTTCCTGACCGCGCCATATTATAAACATGAACTTCCGGTTTAAATTGTTGGAGTTTTTTTTAAGGAAACGAAATACTAACATTATACAGAGAAACAATATCGATGCTAAATTACATACATGGTATTATTTTTTTTATATAAATTTTCTCAAACCTGCGGTCTTGTATTCTATGTGACCATTAGCTTACATTTGTCAAACATATCACTGCTCCAAAATCATTTCAGCACGTTGTTAAATGTTAAATTAATTGTGTGAAATCACTTCATGTAATGTCCGCTTCCACCGAGATGATATCGCAGACAAAATGTAGCCTATAGTACGTTGATTTTATCAACCAATCACATTCAATAACAGTTTTACTTATTTTCTTGTCAACGCATTTGGAGTCAATTGTTAAAATAACACCGGGCATGAGCGCTCAACAGGTCTTTTGATCTACCAGTTTATTGGGCCCAACTTTATTTTAACTACAGACATCTTAACACCAATTAGCATTCAAGTCTGTCTGGCTATATTGTCTGAGTAAAAAATACCTTTCTCTTACTTGTGGACCCCGGATTAAGACTTTGTATGGAGTTCAAATTTAAAAAAAAAATATATTTGTTGACGGTACACATTACTTGTGTTAATTATATGGAAAAAACACAAGATTTGTGTTAATGCATTAAAAAGAACACAAGTTTGTGTTAATGCAATGCAAAACAACACATAACTTGTGTAGAATAATTTTCACACAAGTACTTGTGTTGAGATTCAACACAAGGTTTTTTTCAGTGTAGCATCGGTAGAGGACGGTTGTGTTGTAGTTTAGGAGATATCGCAGTGTTTGTTTACAAAATCATAGCATCAATATGTCTGATCATGTGAGTACATATAATAACTATGTCTTAACAACTATTTCTTTAGTTGTGACTATTGTTTCAATGGTTTTAACTTGTTTTTAGACTCGTTTATTAGACAGAACCACAATAACAGCTCATGTAGAAAGTCTGAAGATTTTCGTTTTCCTTCATGCTTGTTTTTGTCGTCTTTCAAAGTATTGCTAAATATCCACGCTTTAACGTGACGATCGATGTTGAACCCTGAGAAAAGATCACCACTTGTTTTCCTAAATTTGTAATAAATCTACACAATCAAACAAAACTAGTATTTTTACATCAAATTGTGAGTAAATGTTTCATCTGATCATATCAAAGTATTAAACACATATTGTTGATTGAAAAACCAAATTACAGGTCAGTGGCGTTTCAGTACAACTATCCAAATATTGTCGGATATAGACATATTTCCAACCAAACAAGAAATGACGTCATTTCCTGACTAGTTATATCAGATAACTTTATTTAATAACTTGATTGCACGCGCAAGGGTGTATAGCAGTTTGAGGAAACGGGAATACCTTCAGAAATCCACAAGATTTAAACGAAGACCCGCGATTCAATGGCATACCTTATGATCTAAAGCGCACGCGTTAGATCACTCAGCCGGGGATCACTCAAACACCCACCCCCACCCCCTGAATACCAGGTAAATTAAGCTGTTAGGGCAAAATTCACAACCCTACCATTGCTTATGGCTACCGTAAATAAAAACAAATCGTATATTAGTCTCAAATTGTTGAACATTTTATGTTTTATAAAATTTATAAAAGTTTTAGCTACATTAAAATTATACCGCTGATAATATATTATTCAGAACGTAACCATTTTCCGGCGTGGTTTCCCCTTGTCAGTGATGCAGGACGGAAGGCCTGGCAAGGCCAGCTGTCTAGTCGTTCGGATAGGACAAAAACCGAGGTCCCGTGTAAACATTGGCGTGCACGTAAAAGATCCCTTGGCAGTTGGAAGTTGATATAAGAGTAGACCGTAGCGCCGCTGCCCGGGCAAAAATTTCCCTCATAGCACACTGTATGGCGTATGCCGGTCTTCATTAGCCCAGTTTAGGAGCAGAACAGTAGGATGTTAAACTCCATTTCATTTCATTTCAGAACGGAACCAACAACAACATGTATATTACAAATACATACCATGTAAGAAGTGATGCGGTGCAGATTGGAAATGGTCAAAATACATTACACATCAACAATCAGCTACGGGAGGAGGTGGGTGAACTAAGAGAAGAGGTGGATGAGTTAAAAGAAAGGGTCAGACAACTGGAGGCTAAATTACAGACTAATACTGATACAAACACTGAGGAGCCAGAATATCAGATGAATGAGAGAATGACCGCGTTAGAATATAACAATGTACATACAAACACTGAGGAACCAGAATATCCGATGGGTGACGACGAGGAGGAGGAGGATGGGGATATGATTACTCTGAAAATTCATTAGTAAGTACATGTATATACTACATATTTTATAATATAGTTTTACCTTCATCAGTAGATATATAACAATAGTAATATAATATATTTTTCTGTAGTTAAAATGATTATGCTGAGACGACTATAAAACTATAATACAATATATATGTACCTGTATTTACAGTAGTAGGTATAATATAATATATATTTACCTGTATTTACAGTATGAATGGTAATATGACTATAAGTATAAGTAGAAGTAAAACTGTTGGTGAACTAGAACAGATAATACAGGAATATAGAAGAAGTAAGTATGGTGGAGATGCTGGTGGTGGTGGTATTGGTAGTATCTACAATGTAAAACAGAATCAGTACATCTACCTATTCTGCAACAACAATATCAAACATCTACCATTGTCTTATTACGGTGTAGAGGGGGATGATATAGTTCGGTTGTGGTGATAGTGTCTGGCAGTGGTGGCGGAAGTAGTCTCTTTGATTGGATTGACTTTTAAAGTAGTTTGATTGTATTGAGTTAAATCATACAATGTTAAAATCATGTCGACTTGGTATTAAAATTTAAATGTTAATTGACAATTTTATATTTGTATCGTATATAATTACAGCTACTGTATTTAAAAGAGAGAGAGAGAGAGAGAGAGAGAGAGAGAGAGAGAGAGAGAGAGAAATGGGGTTTAACGTCCACTCGACACAAACTAGGTCATTTCGGGACTAACATATGGTTTAATTTTATTTCAATAATTCGCTTGCGCGTAGGGGTCTTTAGCAGTGGGAGGAAACCGGAGGACCCGGAGAAAACCCACGAGGTTGGACAGGCAACCCTACTCCTTGTCACGTACAACCGGGGATTCGACTGTATTTAAAATATACATCTTTCATGTAGAGTCTATTAGTATACATTTCATACTGTACCATTCTCGTCCAACAACTAGATACAACCATCGCGGCCCCCACACCATACGCTCTCGGCTAACAAAGGGATAGATCCAAGGATCTACCCGTTGGTGACCCAGTGGCTTACTCATTGACCCCCCCCCCACCTCCAAACGCACCCAGTGTATTACTCACTGAGCCACAGCGGTCCCCCTTTTCTCCAGAATTCTCGTCCAACAACTGAGTGGGTTAGTGTGTACCTTTTTTACCTCTGCATACCTTAATCTGACCTGAGCTACCCTGTAATATGTACATAATATTTAAATAAGCGAAGGAGAGGGGGGCACGATGGTGTGTGTACAATCGTTCGGTTGGGACGGCATACCGAGCAGAAAAGTAGGATGTTAAACCTTATTTTATTTTATCAGCAAGGGAAGGTCACCTTAAAAAGGAAATGTATCTCAAGTGGTTTTTTTTTTGTAATTTTGTGTATATACAATCTATAGTTGGGAACTAGATATACCTATTTGATACTTTTTGATTTCCAACCATCAAAGTAAGGTGTCTCTATTTAACAATACAAACTTGTGTTGAAACAACACAAAACTTGTGTTAAAATTTATCAAACAGCACAAACTTGTGTGAAAATCTACACAATACTTGTGTTGAAATTTTTGAAACTTGTGTTAAAATTTCTGAAACTTGTGTTGAAATTTCTGAAACTTGTGTGGTTTCATACAAACTTGTGTATAACCATCCACAAAAACTTGTGTTGTGTTTTACCCCAATTTATATACAGTATAGCAACCTTTTTATGCAGGACCCATCTCTTTGCTCTGTTAGAGCTGTAAAGTTTGATAAAAGAAGGAAACAAAATTTTTTTTTGTTTTTGTAAGATTATTATTTATTCATAAAATCATAGGAAAAAGTAAATTAATACATCAAAACTAAATAGATATTTGAAATGTTAACAGAAAAACAGAGAATTCTAATACTAATTATATTGTGTTATATATAATGACCCCCCCCCCCCCCACACACACACACACACACACCCTCACACACACACACCCCACTTTACCCATCACAAAATATAACATAGCTATTTAAATTGTTCTTAACCCCACACACTTTACCAATCACAAAATATAAAATAGCTATATAAATTGTTCTTTACCCCAAAACAATAACTGAGAATATAAAGATATGTACACAGTATCCCTACCCCATACTCCAAAATATATAATTCAAATAATATCTAAATTTAATAACATCCAAACCAAGCACTAAGATTAATTATGCACTAAATTGAAACTATTTCAAAAACTGAAAAGTGCTACAAAAACACACTATTTGTGAGACATATAGAAATAACTAATATACACAGAAAACTAACAAAAGAAAAATGCACTATTTTGCAGGAGTAATAAAATGATGTAAAACCTTTTCCTCATTAAAAAAAACCCAAACAAAATGAATATTTTGTAAATAAAAGAAGCAAAGCATCAAGATTACAGGATTGAAATAAAAAAATATCATATGTACAAAAAATTTATATACAATCACAAGTCATAAGCCACAGTGGTTCAGTGAGTATAAGGTGTTGGCCGAGAAATTTCAACTGGATTTTCCGGCATAGTTCCCACTTGTCAGTAGTGTTGGATGTGGCAAGGGATAATTGGGTACAAGCCCGGAATCGAAAGAGAGAGAGAGAGAAATGGGGTTTAACATCCACTTGACACAAACTAGGTCATTTCAGGATTAACATATGGTTTAATTTTATTTCAATAATTCGTTGCGCATAGGGGTCTTTAGCAGTGGGAGGAAACCGGAGGTCCCGGAGAAAACCCACAAGATTGGACAGGCGACCCTACTCCTTGTCACGTACAACCGGGGATTCGAAACCACGCCAGTTGACTCAATGACAGGCCGTATGATACCGCACGCACGTGCTTACCATTCGGCCATCCACCACCCCCTCCCCCATTCCCGGAATCGAAACCATCCCCACTGCGTTCACTTAGAAGAACCCTTGACAATTGAATTATTTGACTCAATGACAGACTTCCTGATCAAATGTGTGCGTGTTAATCATTGCCCCCCACCCCCCGGGTTCCCGTTAAAGAACCCTTGACAGTTGAAATATTTGATATAAGAGTAGGGTGTAGGGCAGAATCACTCTAAGAACACAGAAAAGTAGGATACTAAACCGTATTTCATTTCATAAGCAAGGGAAAGTCACCTTTATGTAGGTCAAGGTTTTTTGTAATTCTGGGTGTATTTGATCTACATTTGGTTTCTAGTAATGCCTATTAAATACTTTATGATTTCTAACCAAATTCTAAGTGATTTATATGTCACTTTACTTGCTATATTATACATACATTTCTGAAGAGAATTAAAATCTAATTGTGTTTTGGAAAAAAATTTAACATTAATAACAAAAAATAAATATTTAAAAATTGGGTCAAATGCATTCTTTCCCAGAAGTATAAAATAAATTGATGCTTGGGTTTTCTTGTTGTTATCATACAGCAAATACTCTTTCAATGGTGTTCCAACCTAAAAAATAAAAAGTAGGCAATAAGAATACTTTCTATGGTTCACAACGTTTAAATAAACAATTTATTTTGCCACATCGAGACCGAGTCTCTATTTGGTTTCAACTTTGCGTAACGCTTATTGTGTCTTGTCCAGTTACAGACCCAGGCAGATTATTATGCTCAAATCAAATGAGTAAGAAGTCAGAAAAAAGTCTTGAGATTTGGGACTGAAGTCTCATAATAGGTCAACTATTCACCCTTTCATACATGTATTGTCTGCAAATTCAGATTCCCTACTACATCATGGCAGCACCTATTTACTTGGCAATGTCTAATTATTTTTGGACCCATTCTTTTTTTATTTCCATTGACAACAAATTGGATATTACCCTTTAAAATCTATTGAAATCTATTTGAAAGTAAAATACTGTCCATCATTATTTTACTGCTATTTACTGTAAAAATACACATACATGTAGGGCCTATCGCAACTTGAAGGAAATCAATGGATGTGATTGGCAAAAATCAAGCATGCCAAGTACTTGAAACAGCAGAGTATTAGGCATTGCCCCAAGAAGAATAACTAGATTACCAAGCAAGTGTATAGAAGTACTTTCTGATTAAAAATACAAATATATATGTTACTTACATTTTGCGTGTTTTCCCCTTGTCAGTGATACAGGACGGAGGACCTGACAAGGACAGCTGTCTAGTCGTTCGGATGGGACGAAAAACCGAGGTCCCGTGTACACATTGGCGTGCACGTAAAAGATTCCTTGGCAATTGGAATTCGATATAAGAGTAGGCTGTAGCGCCGCTGGCCGGGCAAAAATCCCTTCATAGCACACTGTATGGCGTATGCCCGTCTTCATTAGCCCAATTTATGAGCAAAACAGTAGGATGTTAAACCCCATTTCATTTCATTTTCAAAATTATAAAATAATTTGATGGCTTAATATTCAAAAGGTACAGTCCTTCATGTTTATAAAATTGTACGGGAGCCATAAAAAGCTCCTGATACCTTCAATATATGCAGTTTAAAAGTAAACAAAAATCTCAATATTTAGGAGAGAGAGAGAGAAATGGGGTTTAACGTCCATCCAACCCCCCCACCAAGTGTATAGAACCAGTTCCTGATTTAAAAAGCAAATATGCATGGTACTTACATAGTCTTTGTCTGATAAGCAAGAACTGTGAGAAAACGTCTCCACAATATCAATAGCCCTTTCCAACTTGATCTTCCGAGGTGGGTAACTGAAAAAAAAAATGGCAATGTATTAGTTGGCTTAAATTGACTAGACAGTTTTGATTAATTAAAAAAATGTTAATTTAATTACATTTGTTTTGTTTCATGTGTTGGTTTGCTTTGCCACAGATGAGACAGTGATATCTACATATAACTAAGATTCTGTCTCTGCTCATACATGACGTGTACAGTTTTACTATACTAAACTGAATTTTAGATTTCAAAATAGCATAACAATCTTTTCTATTAGAATTGAATAGTTACCCACCAAGAAAAAGCTGCTCTATCATCATTTTTTCCAGCCATTTCTTCTTCCATTTTTTTCTTTTATAATTTCTTTTGTTATTACATGATCTTTTTCTGGGAGATTTGCATATACATCCAATATTGAAACTGAAAAAATAAATACATGATATGTAATTTACGATTAAAGCTACCTTACCATATATACAAACTGTGTGATATGAAATTGAAACTAATGTATCTATATGTATCAAAAGTTTTAATCCCAAGGAACTACCTAAGCCGTAAAAGTCTATCTTAATAATCCTTGTTTGTCACATGGTTTCACTGTCGCAGTAATTAGAAGATGGCCATGGTGACTGAGTAAATTAGGTGCTGGCACACTAGCATTGAGGCCACAGGTTATCTCTTGGGGTTGACCGAGAAAGCTCATCTTGATTTTGCAGAGTGGTTTCCCCTGAGATCCAATGTACACATTGGCGTACACATAAAAGTTCTCTTGGCAGTTTGAATTCGGTATGAGAGTAGGCCATAGTGTCGCTGCCCAGACAAACATTTTCACTTAGCACAATGCATTAGACCAGTCGGAGCTGACCAGTAGGACGTTGTCTTTAAACCCCATTTCATTTCAGGTAATCTAGTATTTTTCTAGTAAGATTGAAGTCTCTCTACTTTCTTTATATGTAAATATCATATTTGAAATAAGTCATACTTTTATTCGATATGGGGTGGGGCTGGGGGGAATGGTCTAGTAGGTAATGCATGCGCATGAAATCACAGGGTCTGTCATTGTGCTAAGTGGCATGGTTTCAATTTCAAGGAGTAGAGTCGCCTGTCCAATCTCTTTGAGTTTTTTCGCTGGGTCATTCGGTTTCCTCCGTTTTCTAAATACATGTACCCCTACGCCAAGCGAATTATTCATATTAAATTGAAGCATACCTTCTCTAATCTCTGGGTCCTTTTGTTCCTCTTTTTGCTAAATACCCATACCCGCAAGCGAATTATTCATATTAAATTTAACCGTACCTGTCCTTTTTCCCGAAACGACCTAGCGTCTGGAGGCTAAGTAGATATAAGGACCCATCTTGCAACAACTCTACATGTAGGTTCGTGCATAATTAATATTACAGTACATACCAATTTTTAATACATGTAGAATGAGACTGTGTGCAGGAAAAGGGTGGAAACGGAAGTAGGCTAATCCTCGTCGCTGGAAGGTGGAAAGAGTCACATATCATCACTGACTGGAAAAAATAATAAAACTATAGAGAAACTTCCACAGGCTGATTCTAGTTCCATTATTTATTAACTGTGACTGAATCAGGCAAAAATGGGGCCTAATATTAAATATTACACAGACTCACAGAGGTTGAACAACGGATTACATGTCATTTGGGACTCAAGTCATTTGGGACTCGCGTCATTTGGGACTCAAGTCATTTGGGACTCGCGTCATTTGGGACTCAAAAACATATGACCACGACATTTGGGACTCGGGTATACGACGTTTGGGACTTTGGTATACGTCGTTTGGGACTCGGATTAACGACGTTTGGGACTCGGGATAATTTATTAGAAATAGGCCAATTCAAAACACGAAAGAAAATATTTATTAACATGAAACACGTGGTTAGTAAAAGGCTCAACCAAACGATAAAACATTAGTTGCACTTACGGTTCTTTGATAATCATCGTTTCTCATAAAAGTTTTATATTTATTTAAAACGAAAAATATGCTGATGAATTTATTTGAAAATGACCTACACAAAAAAACAAAATAAATATTTACACGACATGTAATCTTTTTTTACAAGCCCCTAGAAATTGTTAACGATAATCCGTGAGCTGCAAGTTGACATGCTTCTCGTAGATGGCAATATTTTCTTGACGAAGAGTAGCTATTTCAATTTGTAAATGCCCAGTCATCTTAGACAAATAATAATTCCAACTTCAAATCAGTTGTATTTATTCAAATCATACTATGAATAATTGTATTTTTCCACTTGCATAATAATAAAAACTTGACTTTTATTATTTTATTTCTTCAGGCCAAGAACATGGAAAATTGGTAATTGCCTTGTATCACTGCTAACTATAAGGCACAGGGAGCCTTGGGCAGAAATGATAATAATATGGTTCTCAGATATGTTACTGTGTACAGACTGAACAAAAAATATATATACACTTGCTATTACATGTACATTATATCATTGGCAATAATAAGATCCAATTTTAGTTTTTAGTTACACACTGTTAACCACCAATAGATGAAAATAAATCATAAAATGTATTCAGCTCCACGTAAGACTTAAATAAATAGATACAGTTGGTTTAACTTGAATAGAAGTTTTAATTATCTATGCTGCATATATGCATATATCACCTTGCAGCTGAATCACATTACATATATTTTAGTTGATGTTCATATCGTCTCACGTATTTGTCAACATCAATGTGACCTTGTTCTATGTCACATTAGCCTATTCACACTTGTTACCACGAATTTACTCACCACACCCTCGCATAGTTATGAATTTATTGTTTCACTTGACTAAAGAAACATTTTGTAGGAATGTGTGCTTTTATAGATTGGACACTTGTTTGCAATATCATTGTCGGTGGAAACTGGCACTATACCTAAAGAATGACTGAACAAATAGCGGAGACGGGGTTTCAGCCGACTGATTTAAATTATTTCTTTAAATACAGTAAAGCTTGAAATATGTCAGTTTTCCCTCTTTAGAATGTTTTTGTAAATAAGTTTTTATTGTAGTTTCGTGGCGTATTCCCAATAAGCGTTAGAAACAAAGATATACACCCTTAATCCCGGTGCCGATAAATGTTGGGTTGTGTGGAACATGCTAACAAATCTCAGGTACGATATATGTTTGATTCTGGATGAGAACAGCATGAGAGCAACATGATTGTTTTCATTGGAGATGAGACGCAAATATTCAAAGGGGTCAGACAAACTCTAAACCAACCGCGTTCCCTTCACTGAGTCCCTTCAAAGGAGGCCCTGTCTGTCTACCTGTGGAATAACATGCATTTGTATCTGTTAAATTTGTGTGGTAGACAGATTGATATTATTTATATAACGTCTTACCCCAAACAAATTGCAAAAGAAACCATGAAGTTTCTGAGAGCGATATTTCGTAATTAGTGTGCTTTAATGGTGGGAGAATAAATAATTAAATTTTTCAAACACAAACTGGTCATATATAAAATAGCATTTTCTGACAAGACCAGCGATAATCTCGTAAGATATGACTTTTACTATGTCTATTAAATGGTTTTCGACGTCTCTTCAAGGTCACCGTCTTGCGCCAAAGTCGTGAAACGCACCGTCGGGGGATTTGTTGGGGCCTGTCTCCCCCAGAAAAATTTATAGAAATTTCAAGTCGGTCTTTTAGAACACATCAAAAAAAATTTCTTTGTGGCGCCATTATATAAATAGACTTCCGGTGCAGTCAGTGGCAGTAGTTCTAAATCTGACTGTTTTAAACGAAACGAATTATTATATACATAGAAGCAATATATACATGCTAAATTAAATACACGGTTTTATTTTTTGTAAAAATTTACAAACCTGCGGTCTGGTATTCTATGTGACCATTATAATTTTTTTTAAAATATCACGGCTAAAGCACCCTGTTGATGCTAACTTCACTACATCTATCTAACTGAATGTCGCTGATATAATATCAAAGAAAGAATTTGTCGCAATGACTAAAGTATAGATACTTCTTCTTAGTTAGTTGTATTTTACGTCCGCTTCCACCGAAGTGATATCGCAGACAAAAAGTATAGATAACTTGGAGAAACATTATATCAATAAGTCGATTATGAGATACACGTGGATGATCAATTAAATTTGATTGGTTACTTTTCAGTTAACCAATACTGTCCAATTTCGATTACATCAACCAATTACATTATTAAGAGTTTTACTCATTTTTTTGTTCATTGTACATTGAATCAATTTTCGAAAACACCAGGGTGCTGAAAATCACATGTACACTATATATTCATTTGATCTATCAGTTTATTGGGTCAATAAAAAAAGACAGACATTTTAACTATACAGACAACTTAACATCAATTAACATTCAAGTCTGTCTGGCAATTGTCCGATTAATTGGTACTCACACCCTTCCAGTGAAGAACAGCATGTGATTTTCGAGATGTGAATTAAGCCCTTTATTACTTTTCTAAAAACTTGACGACTCCCGAATTCAGACTTTGTATGGAGTTTTTTTTTAAAAAAGAAAACAAATCTTGGAAGGTACACATTACTTGTGTTAATGATATGAAAAAAACACAAGATTTTATAAATCGACACAAGTTTGTGTTAATGCAATGCAAAACAACACATAACTTGTGTAGATTAGTTTTAACACAAGTACTTGTGTTGAGATCCAACACAAGTGTTTTTTCAGTGTGGAGGAAATGATCTAATTATCGTAGAAATGTAAATGACCTAATTATCGTGGAAATGATCTAATTATCGTGAAAATGGAAATGATCTAATTATCGTGGAAATAGAAGTAGTCTTATGTTGGTAGATTGTTTAAACATATGATTCCAGTCATTTATGTTTGTCATGGTGGCCGAAAGAATTCATTGTAGATCATCGTATTTTCAGATGTTGCGACTCGCAACTTTCAAAAACAGGAGAGCAAAAAACAAAAACAAACCAAGACACTTGATTCAATACTATAAAATTTATTAAATATGCGTTCGGTAATTTCACAATAACTTGTTCAAACAGGTTCGTGTTGTGGGTATTCCCGTTGTTGAATACACGCCTGACGTTTTGACTGTTTTCATCACGTGACGATAGTGCAATAATAACCGTTGTTATCCCATATTGGTGTAACGATTCAACAACGAGCAATAAATAGACCTAACAGCTGTGATCTAACAATATTAAGCTTATATTTGTTTATTTTAATACTGAATGTATCGCATTCACAAGTTTTAAAAATCAAAATACCATCGGGAAAATAACTATTTATGATTGGAAAATTTAAATATTAATAGAGCAATACTTTGTTCATTTTGAGAGAAAGTTATCATATTGTTCATACATGGTTACGGGTAGTAAAGTTATCATATTGTTTATACATGGTTACGGGTAGTAAAGTTATCATATTGTTTATACATGGTTACGGGTAGTAAAGTTATCATATTGTTTATACATGGTTACGGGTAGTAAAGTTATCATATTGTTTATAAATGGTCACGGACAGTAAAGTTATCAAATTGTTTATACATGGTTATTTTATGTTCACGCTAATGGGTACATCATGGGTGGACCTCAGTTGTTGTTAACATCAAACGACACGGATCACTTATCAACCTTGACATTTCTCTTTATCAATATAATACTGACGTAATAATACATACAGTAGACTCTACTATCATATTAACTCTTTTTATAGCTTTTAGCCGGGGTCTTGACAATCTAGGCTACAACGAAACTGAAATAGTTACTATAAATAAATGGTTTTTTCCATGAGGGGCTTCTAAAAAATAAATACTTCCCGTTTGATTTGTACAGCGTCGCCATCGTTTTGTAGTGTAGATAATTCAAGACATCTGGTTGACGTGTTTTGTAACCCAAATCACATTATAAATAATGTCTAATCATGTGAGTACAACGTTATACACAAGATATAATCAATATTTAAAACTTGCTGTTTGTACATGTTGAGCAGATGATCTACTTTGATCAACTGTTTATTCGTCGAGTCAGACTATTATATTAAATTATCTAAAACTGTAAATCTTGAAATAGTTTAATTATAGCAGAAATACAAATGATTTAACATATTAGTATATGATGACAATTATCTGTGAGCAGATTTTTTTATTGAAAGGGGGGGAACTCCATTTAAACAATTTGGGATACAGACGGGTAATTCTGCTTATAAACGTCAATGTTAAATCCATGCCATTTCTTAATTTTTAAAATTTTATTTTAACATTCCTTTCATCTTAATCTTTTATAATCTTTATAACAAAAAAACAAATATCTGATAGAAATATTGAAACAGGTTGATCATCTCGGTTTCAATAAATAAATAAATGTGATTTCAATAATAGGGTTCTCTAACAAACAAGACACGTGATTCAATGAAATACCTTATGGTCTAATGCGCTCCCATTAGACCCCCTGGTCCTACCCCCTGACCATACCATTCAAATGTGAGGTAAGATTAAGGAAATTGCACCACATGACTACAGTAACTAAAAAACAAATCATATATTGGTCTCTGTGTTTGAAAGTTTTGTGTTTTCTAATCTTTTTTAAAAATCTTTACCTACATACAAATTATCACCCCTGATTGATTAAATTTATAATATGACGTCAACAATTGAACAATGACGTAAACAGTAACTGGTTGAAACTAGTTCAAGTTGTGGGAATTCCCGTTATTTATTATGAATGTTTTTTCTCAATATCTGTTATCAATACAATATATAAAACCAGTCTAAATGTATTATGTACACATTATTTTTTGTTATAAAATGTTTTATGTATATATTATAATATATTATTCAGAACGTAACAAACAACAACCTGGCGTATAATACATACAATACATACCATGTTAACGGTGATGAGGTGCAGATTGGAAATGGTAATGTATTCCACCAGAGGAATCAACTTCAATCAGAGGTGGTTGACCTGCGGGAAGAGGTGGGTGAATTAAAAGACCGAGTCAAACAATTGGAGGAAAGAATGGCCGCGTTAGAAAATAATAATGATGATACAAACACCGAGGAACCAGAATATCAGATGGATGACACGGGGGAGGAGGAAGAGGAGGAGGATATGATTACTCTTAAGATCATTGATGTGTAAGTATAAACTACATGTACATGTTTTATAGTATAATATATATTTACCGGTATCGCGATCGTTTGTATGTAAGTATAAACTACATGTTTTATTTAACATGTATCTATAGAGGTAGGTATTATAATATAATATATATTTACCTGTATTTACAATAGTAGGTATAATATAATATATATTTACCTGTATTTACAGTGGTCGTGAGATGACTATAAGTAGAGATAAAACTGTAATTGAACTAGAATCTATGGTACAGGAGGAGTGTAGAAGGAAGTATGGTAGAGATCGTGGTGTTCGTTGTATTACTGGTATCTACAGTGTAAAACAAGATAAGTTCATCTACCACCGTTACAACAACAAAGATCTATCATTATCACATTACGGTGTAGGTGAGGGTGATATAGTCGACTGGCGGTACAAGTCTAATCAGATAGTTTGATTGTATTGATACCAAAGTATGCCTAGTTTGTATCATATTAGAATTTAAATGTTAAATGATATCGGTTTGGTATTAAAATTTAAATGTTAATTGACAATTTATATTGTATTGTATATAATTACACCTACTGTATTTAAAATAAACATCTAGCGTATACATTTTATACTGTACCATTCTCGTCCAACAACGGGATACAGCCAACGATCTACTGGTTAGTGAGTACCCTTTTACCCCAGCATACATTAATCTGATCTGAGGTACTGATCCCTCTAGTGTTGACTGTATACACAGTAGAGCTAATCTGGGTTGTGAACATCATCCAGTACAACCCTTTGTCAAAACATTACTCCGTTAACTATAAGTATTGTACACGTGACAGGGTATACCTTCCATTTCTAACCCATTCGTTCGAGCGATGTGCAGCAGATCACCGTTTACATGGTAACGACCTATAATGTATAGCCTGACATCAATAGTCAAATATTCCAGGAGCACTGCCACATTCTCAACGTCATATCCGGATTGGGGTTGGATGGCCGAATGGTTAGCACGTGCGCGCTGTATTATAAGATCTGTCATTGAGTGGTTTCGATTCCCCGGTTGTACATGACAAGGAGTAGTGTCGCCTTCCAACCTCGTGGGTTTTCTCCGGGTCCTCCGGTTTCCTCCCCTATGCGCAAGCGAATTATTGAAATAAAAATAAACCGTGTGTTAATCCTGAAATGACCTAGTTTGTGTCGAGTACAGAGGCGTAGCCTTGAAATATATATTGGGAGGGGGGGGGCGCAAATGAAATTGTATAAAATGTTGACAATCTGTGACACCGGAGGCATATGGAAGCCTATTGCGGCCATTTCAGAATCTCGTCTTCTCGCCGCGAGAAGTCGAGGGCGAGAACACGAGAAGACGAGATTACTTTCACCTCGACTTCTCGCTCCCTCGTCCCTCGACTTCTCGCTCCCTCGTGTTCTCGCCTTTGAAAAACCTCGTGTTCTCGCACTCTCGCCCTCGACTTCTCGTCTTCTCGTGTTCTCGCCTTTGAAAAACCTCGTGTTCTCGCTCCCTCTCTCCCTCGCCTTTGAGTTAATCTCGTCCTCTCGTGTTCTCGCTCCCTCGACTTCTCGTCTTCTCGCCTCGGAAGTGCAGTTTATACGCATGTCCACTGACTACCGTATCGGCATTTATACTTGGACATGGATTATAATAAACGGAAATGTTTGAAGTTCTAGAAAATTTAATAGTTCTAAACAATTTTTATCTCTTCTTGCACAGATAGTATTGTATTCTGTAATCGATTTTAAGTCTTCAGTCGAATCTTTCTTTGCTCTCTAACTTCAATAACCTTCATCGGGTTTTTTGATGCATGGACTTGTCAGTGCTGTAGGATGTAGAGCCTGACAAGGGACAACGTATAGTCGTTCGAATGGGATTAAAAAAGCGAGGTCCCGTGCCCGGAATCGAAATGAAGTTGGCTCTACGGTGGCCCAGACTGTTGCTTTCTAACTTTATCAAAGTTCATCGTGATTTTTCTGGCGATGTCCACCCTAGGACGGAGGGCCTGAGAAGGGACAACGTATAGTCGTTCGGATGGAATACAAATAACCGAGATCCCGTGTCCGGAATCTAAATGAAGTGTGTGCTACGATGGCTCAGTGAGTAGGACGTTTGCTCTCTTACTTCATCAAAGTTCTCATTTTTCGGTCGTGGTTCCGGCTTGTCAGTTGTATAGTTGCTCGAATGGTATAAATAAAAAACGAGATTCCTTGTCCGAAATCGAATGAAGTGAGGGCTACGGTGGCTCAGTGAGTAGCACGTTTGCTCTCTAACTTCATCAAAGTTCATCGTGATTTTTCTGGCTATGTCCACCCTTGTCAGTGGTGTAGGACGAAGTATCTGACAAGAGACAACATATCGTTCGGATGGAATAAAAATAACCGAGCTCCCATGTCCGGAATCTAAATTAAGTAGGAGCTACGGTGGGTCAGTGAGTGGGACGTTTGCACTCTTACTTCCCTTCAGTGGAGTAGGAGGAAAGCCCTGGCAAGGGACCACGTATAGTCGTTCGGATGGCATAAAAAAAACGAGGCCCCTTGTCCGGAATCGAAATGAAGTGGGAGTTAGGGTGGCTCAGTGAATAGGACGTTTGCTCTCTAACATCATTAAAGTTAGGAGCCACGGTGGCTAAGTGGGTAAGACGCTGGCTTACTAAACTGGAGGTCACATGTTCGATCCCTGCATTGGCCGAGAAAGTTCATCAGGATTTTTCGAAATGGTTTCCCCTTGTCAGTGGTGCAGGGCGGAGGGCTTAGCAAGGACAGCTGTCAAGTTGTTCGGATGGGTCCAAACACCGAGGGTATAAATTGGCGTGCACGTAATTGGAAGTTTGAATTCGATATAAGCCGAGGCCTTGGTGTCGCTGCCCGGGCACAATTTCCCTCATAGCACACTGTACGGCGTATGCCCGTCTTCATTAGCCCAGTCGGAGCAGAACAGTAGGACGTTAAACCCTATTTCATTTCATTTCATCAAAGTTTATCTCAATTTTCTGACGGGGTTTACCAATGTCAGTTGTGAAGGAGAGAAAGAGAGAAATGGGGTTTAACGTCCACTCGACACAAACTAGGTCATTTCGGGACTAACATGGGTAATTTTATTTCATTAATTCGCTTGCGCGTAGGGGTCTTTAGCAGTGGGAGGAAACCGGGGGACCCGGAGAAAACACACGAGGTTGGACAGGCGACACTACTCCTTGTCACGTACAACCGGGATTCGAAACCACGCCAGTTGACTCAATGACGAGCCGTATGATACAGCACGCACGTGCTAACCATTCGGCCATCCAACCCCCCAGTTGTGAAGGAAGGATGGGATAATTTGAAATGAAGTAGGGGCTGCTGTGGCTCAGTGCGTAATCGGGACTTTTCTGGCAAGGGTTCCCCTTGTCAGTGGTGTAGGACGGAAGCATAGGGACAGCATGTTGTTCGGATGGCATGAAAAACCGAGGTCCCGTGTACACATTGGCGTGGTGATGTGTGGGGCGCGGAGGGAGGGACTCTAGTTTCGATCCGCCGCTTATATGTGACAAGGAGTAGGGTCGTCTGTCCAACCTTGTGGGTTTTCTTCAGGTCCTCCACCCCCCACCCACACTAAAAAAAACTGTTAATTGCTTGATTTGTAGAGTGGGCCCATATTCGCCCAATGCACAAATTCGCACGGAACCAAAATTCCCCCGAGGCCCAATTCGTTCTTGTCCCAAATTCGCCTGGAGCCCAGATTTGATGGCCTAAAACATTCACGTGGTCGTGCTTTTTAATTTGATACGAGATATGTGGGGTGGAGCGCGGCGACGAAGCGCAATTCGCCTGGGACCCGAATTTAATGGCCTAAAACATTCATGTTGTGATGATGGTTAATTTAATACCACATAATAATGAGTGGGTGGTAGAGCGCGGCGACGAAGCGTGATGGGCGAAAATACATACAAAGATACATACACACACCCATACACACTTAGATTTTATTTATATAGATATCACCGCAAAGTTCTCATGGCCACGAAGCGTGATGTGCGAACATCCATACCTACCTACATACATACACAACTTGATTTTATTGATACAGATATCACCGCAAAGTTCTCATGACCCGGATTCGGGATAAACCAAAGGGTACGTTCAGGCTGCATCAAAACCACCTAAATGAGCCTTGATCAACTTGGTGGCAAAATGTTATTTATTTCACAGAATCAACTACCAGACTGCACACTTTCAGGACCCGGAAAAAAAACACGTGGTTCGACAGGCGACCTATCCCTTGACACGTTCAAGCGGGGAATCGATACCCCGCCAGTTGATTCAATGACAGTCCTTATGATCAAATGCAAACGCGTTAACCATTCGGCTACCAAAACCCATACTGTTCTTCTCCAACTGAGCTAATGAAAGCGAATATACGTCATGCAGTGTGCTGCAAGGGCCTACTCTTATTTTATTCTAACGGTAAAGGGTTCTTGTACGTGGACACCAATGAGTGTGAAAGAGAGAAAGAGAGGCACAAACCAGGTCATTCCGGGACTAACAATTTTATTTCAATAATTTGCTTGCGTTTAGGGGTCTTTAGCAGTGGGGGAAACCCGGAGAACCCGGAAAAAACCCACGCGATTGGACAGACGATCCGATATCATTGTCACGTTCAAGCGGCGAATCGAAACCGAGCCACTTGACTCAATGACAGACGCCAATGTGTACACGGGACCCCTTTTTGTTTTTGTCTCATCTGAACGACTACACGTTATCCGTTGCCAGGCCCTCCGTCCTCCATCCTACACAACTGACAGGGAGGACATCTCTAGAAAAATCCCGATGCACTTTGATGAAGTTAGAGAGCAAACGTCCTACTCACTGGGCCACCGTAGAACCAACTTCATTTTGATTACAGGCACGGGACCTCGTTTTTTTAATACCATTCGAACGACTATGCGAGATTAAAATTGTTTAGGACTATTAAATTTTCTAGACCTTCATACATTTCCGTATATTACAATTCATGTCCAAATATAAATGCCGATACGGTAGTCAATGGACATGCGTATAAACTGCACTTCCGAGGCGAGAACACGAGAAGTCGAGATTGTGACGAAGCGAGGGAGCGAGAACACGAGAAGACGAGATTAACTCAAAGGCTAGGGAGCGAGGGAGCGAGAACACGAGGTTTTTCAAAGGCGAGAAGACGAGAAGTCGAGGGCGAGAAGTCGAGGGCGAGAAGACGAGAAGTCGAGGGCGAGAGTGCGAGAACACGAGAAGACGAGAAGTCGAGGGACGAGGGAGCGAGAAGTCGAGGTGAAAGTAATCTCGTGTTCTCGGGGCGAGATCCTCGTATTCTCGCCCTTATTTCCTCGTGTTCTCGTCTTCTCGTGTCCTCGCCCTCGACTTCTCGACTTCTCGTGTTCTCGCCCTCGACTTCTCGACTTCTTGTCTTCTCGTGTTCTCGCCCTCGGCTTCTCGCGGCGAGAAGACGAGATTCTGAAATGGCCGCAATAGGCTTCCATAGGAGGCACGAGGCTGCGCAGCAGCCGCTGTAGCGCGATAGGCAGAGTGTGGGAGGGTCAAAAATATCTCCAAATATGGGCGTTGATAAACATCATTTCACGTTTCATTTTTTGGAGAAAAAATACAAAACATGTTTATTTTAGCACTTTTCGTACTTAAATACGACGCCATTTTTATTAAATGAATAGTTAGGGATGACGTCACGTGATAATCGCCGCCATTTTCCTTCCTTTTCTAATTTAGCCATCAGCGGTTCTAGTTTATTTTTATAATCTTCAACATATGATAAATATTCTTCTCTCATTACTATACAAACTAGCCCACCTGGAATATAGATATATACTCATCACTATACAAACTAACCCACCTGGAATATAGATATATACACATCACTATACAAACTAGCCCACCTGGAATATAGATGAACATACCAGAGTTGCCCCCCCCCCCCCAACACCTTACTATAAACATGGACCCATATGATATCAGACAAAAACAGGAGATTGGACACCTGGTGTGGCCGATTATAGATAGGTAGAACCGCTTCTCTACTCCGGAAGTTCCGTACGCATGCGCTGAATGCAATGGTGTGTGCGATCCTTCGGCAAACCTCGGCAGACACATGTATCCTACATCTAGCTACACCCATGTGATGCGTCTGTCGGTTTACTATTATGAAGACTTGTAACTTTTAGAAAGAAGATCTCAAAACTACGAAGTACGAAGACATTCGGCAAATCTCGGCTGATTCCAGTACCCTCCTGGAGTCTAGAAATCGCCATCTGAACACATCACATGGCAGAGGATGGATCGTAACACTCCTAGAAGTCATAAACGGCGCATTGCTGTCATTAACGGCTGATATTTCGGTCAAGAGCGGCTGATTTGAGTGTATGATTTGGCTCATTAACAGCTGATATTTCGGTCAAGAACGGCTCATTCCGGTGACAAACAGGTTGCCTACAAGTGGAGCACGAGTGGTGATTAGACATCGTATAGAGGAAACACCACAGACCTTGCGATACAATGCGCATGGGCTAACCATTCGGCCATCCAAATCCGCCACCGTATAGAGGAAACAACACAGACTTTGTGATACAATGCGCATGGGCTAACGATGTGAATTACCTGGTTTAACTACACGGATCATTTCATGGAGACCTGAACATGGTATATGACCTTCACCCATTCCACCAGATACAACACAACAGTCATAGTCATCTAAAAAACATCATAACTAGATATTATACAACAGTCATAGTCATCTAAAAATACATCATATAACTAGATATTATACAACAGTCATATTCATCTAAAAATACATCATAATTAGATATTACACAACATGGTATATGACCTTCACCCATTCCACCAGATACAACACAACAGTCATAGTCATCTAAAAATACATCATAACTAAATATTATACAACAGTCATATTCATCTAAAAATACATCATAATTAGATATTACACAACATGGTATATGACCTTCACCCATTCCACCAGATACAACACAGCAGTCATATTCATCTAAAATACATCATAACTAAATATTATACAACAGTCATATTCATCTAAAATACACAACAGTCGTTCGGTGCGTTTAACAGTCATGTTCAATCATTCCGGGTCAAGTCACCACATGAGTCCAACCGTCCCCCCTTCGATTTCGCCGATAATTGGTTTATATGCTGATTCTGACTGTTAAACCTGATAATGAGAATTTGAACTTGATCAGACGTTTACAGATACCTCGGTTTTTGCGCCTTATTTACTGCGCCATGTTGAATTCATTGATTGTTTACACGGGCCAATCTCGATTATATTTTTGAGAATAACACTGCTTAATTTTTTGTTAAAAGCCCCTAAAATTCTCTACCTATAGGGCCGGGCAACTAACTCAATATACGTGATAAGTTTTCAAACAACTTAAAACCCGTCAGTTTTCATCTGTCACAAGCTGTATTATACGGTGTCTAGATAAAACCAGACTTTTATTTATAAAAATAATGTGTAGGTGAAATTTACCTTTCAGTATCAAGTACATCACGTGGATCATTCACTGTATAGACCTCTAAAAGAACGATTATCAGGTCACCTAACTAAAACTTTGAGCCGAAATCTTAAAAGGGTTACGTATCCGGATAAGCAGTTTTGACGTTCATGTCCAAACGACTAAATATTTTGCGCTGAAATTTTGAGACATCATTCCTCTATATTTTGACGCTTATATTTCATACGTACACAGATTTTTATTTCTGGATGGTCCCTTTAAGTTTTTGTAAGGGGGAATATTTTCAAACCAGGCGCTATCCTTTCGGACAACGTTCCTAGTCGTATATAAACTAGAGGTACATCTATGTAAGTAAAATATTATAATTGTACCTTCAGGAATCGATACATTTCCACCATTTAGAAAATCACAGATATATTTTCTGTACAAGTCTTTAGTTTTAGCGATTTCCAGCATCCCTTCTGATGGATCCAGCGCATCTATAATCTTAAATCCATATTTTAATAACTGAAAGTTAAAGAATAAGAATGAATGAATAGATGGGAGGATGGATGAATGAATGATTGAAAGGAATTGAGTTTAATATCTGTTATGTTAATAACTGAAAGTTAAAGAATGAATGATTGAATGAAATGGAGTTTTATTTAAAGCTGAACTCCGATTACAAAACTACAGAAATAATCAAATAAAAAAAAATTAACACCCTAAATAATCGCCATACTTGTTTTCAAGTTGTAGAACAATCATGGACGATTGTATGGCGTACAAAAACAAGAGGCAGGCCACGCCCACATCCAGTTCACGCTTTGTCAACCACACTGTCCACATCCGGCTAGCAACGTCCCACTGTTATGTATAGTGGGATCTCGCTTTTGTCATCTCATTCGAGCAACTGGATGGAAACTTTTCCCCGGATTGCAATTTAATTACAACTTAAGGGCACACCAAGAAGTACATGGGATCTCCCTTTCTTCACCCCATACAAACATCTAGGCTCTGCTCTTTGCCAGGCCCCGGTCTTGCACCACTGACAAAGGAAATCCACACTGGAAAACTGAACGAGTGAATGAGATGGGGTTTGAAGTCCTACTTTTCTACTCTAATTGGGATAATGAAGACATAAATACGCCATGGGGAAATGCCGTCAACACGTTACAGCCCATTTTATCCTCCTCCACCCCACCCCTCAAGTTACGTACGCCTCAAATAATCCATTGTATCCTGACGTCGGAAGATTCATTCATCTTTCCAATCTGCTTCACACAGGATTACGAAAGTCTTCTAATAACTCTGTAAAAGATACTGCTGTCAACACGTGACGTCACATCACGCGGCTTCAATCATTGGCTCAAAAGCCCGTGCACTGTTTACATAAGACGTTACTGGTCCCAGCAGAATGGTGTCTTGTACTCATTCTACACACCCATTTACACTAAATAGGACATATTTTTTTAAGCTACATGTACTTCAAACAACTTTATTTATTTTTCTAATGTTTAAAAACAATTGTTTAAGAATTTAATTTGCAGAAGGACACAGGTTAATATTGGGGGCTCATTAAGCCGCACCTATGTCATCCTTATCAGTGATTGTAGCAGCCTAGCGATTATTCACTGCTGATCAGTGTGTCATCTTTCAAATCAGTATTTTATAATACCCACCTCTTCCGCCACATATCCTGTTCCAGCAGCTATATCTAATATACTTATACTATCTCTGTTAGTTGGGTAGTGTTTCGCCAAGACAGCACCAGCAACTATAGGTCCATTGTAGATTTTACCTTTTGATAAATCCTGGAACAGTATAAAAGTTTCATGTGATTCTCAAACTTAGATAGAGAGCTGGTCGTTATTGCTATAATTGTTTTAAAAACATAGATAATGCAAAATGAATATGTTGAAAAATTCTGTCAAATTACTAAATCCTTGCGAAGTTATTAATATTTGAAGTTTTGACAAGAAATACGGTAAATTGTTTCGATTGTCAAATATCATTGCAGTGATGATATACGTAGTCCCGATTTTCCAATTTAACGTTTAACGAAGACATGGTAAACATTTTCTAATCCGCTTATCAGCCATTGGATGCTCTAGAGAGTCTCTTTATGAGCTTGTCACGTGAGTAATTATTTAAATAATGCAGCTTTAAGAGGGAGAAGACTTTCCATGTTTTCACCGTTTTGGATTAGGCTGAGCAGTCATACACTGCCTCGTGTACAGCACTAGCTTTGGACCTTGATTTCAGAAGCTCAGAGTGAAAGAGATATCTTGTTCTGTTTAATTTAAACAGATACAAAACTATCAAATGCCTGATACCCATGTGAATTTACATCAAGACAATCATAACTTTTCTTTTTCTCGTTGTTTGCACGTGACTGCTGACAATTTGAAACAGGACTGAATAATTCCGAAGATTTCTCTTGTCCCAGTCGTTTACATGGGCAGCTTCTACCTCTTATAGACAACTCAACCAGTGCCTGGACAATTTCTCACTTTTTATAGACATCATTGTTATGTCATTCCATCAAATTTTTCTGTCTTATTTCGGTACATGAGATACCATGCACGACAGAAGATGAAATCTGCTAGAGATTTCTTGTTCTTTTAAATTTAAATTTCGTCTCACCTGATCGTATTTGCCTGTTCTCGCCCAATTTGTGTAATAATCGGCCGACTCTTGTCCCGTGATCCCCACTTTATGGGCCCCATAATTTATATTATACGATTGTTTCGCTACTTCATCATCCACTGCCGTGACAAAATCCTTCAGTTTATCTTCGGCCATTCTGTAATATATAGAGATAAAAAGACATTTCTGATTGTTCAAATGAAACCATTAGACATAATCAAAGAAGCATTATTACTGCTTTTTGTGTCTTAATCCGTCGATAAACTAATTATTTTTAATGTGACGCCGTTTGACAAAACATCTGGGGTGTTCAAATCTAAGCCAAATAGTCCACCATCCCATCGTCTAGAGAGAGAGAGAGATGGGGTTTAACGTCCACTCGACACAAACTAGGACTAACATATAGTTCAATTTTATTTCAATAATTAGCGTGCGCGTAGGGGTCTTGAGCAGTGAGAGGAAACCGGAGGACCCGCAGAAATCCCACGAGGTTGGACAGGCGACCCTACTCCTTGTCACGTACAACCGAGGAATCGAAACCACGCCAGTTGACTCAATGGCAGACCTTATGATAGCAGTTAATACTGACATGTTGATATCTCTTGAAATGTCGTGGGTAGTGTTAATATTAGATAAAAAAGAGAATATTTTCTCAGAATGCTGGGCTATCAGTAAGTTAATCTAGATAGCATGCTTACACTGTAATACGTACATCTTTAATATTACCTTCAGTAAGCTAACCTAGTGTTGATAAATATACATCACTATTTCAATTCCACATAGAATACTGTGACTGACAGCTATTAATTATTGTATGGCATAGACATATGTCTTAGACCGTTTATGGTGTATTAAAAAGGTCAATGCCGATTCCCCGTCAATACATATAGCAATGTAGAGCTGCAACACAAACAATTTCTAATTTTCAAGAAACCGTCTCCTGCCTAAAAGTGACAAAACAGTATGACACCAACCCCGTATTTTATACACACATGCGCCAGTTAAAAGAGCTGAATCGCTAATATTTGGGACTTAGAAATTGGCACAAATGGGTCGCAACGCATATAATAATGTAATATGCATGTGTCTAAACCGATTTACATTCAATCTTTCCGTTTTTACTCTAATTTCAAATCAGTCATGTTCAACGAAATACGTCAGAAATCTCAACCGAATGGCAATCTCTAGCATCTAGTCATTCCAGTCTACAACCAAAGTATTTATTGTGCATGCTCTCTAGATAAGAATATGGCGTCACCGTTTGACATGACTTGTAGAATATGTCTAGCTCCATTCTTCAAGTCCCTTAAGTTACAGATGGCACTGAAACGCATTATGGTACACGATTCGTGTACCAATGGTAAAATGTTTATTTTGTTTTAAATATTGGATATTAGAGGCCTACCTTTTCCCGGTAAGATCAATGTCGAAGGATTTGGATGATTTTGAGTTGGAGACTTAGTTACTTTAAGTAGATTTCTTCGATTTGGGTAAAAACAAATTGTGGAATAGCAACATTAGGTTTAATTTGTTCATTTAATTTGATCTGACTTCGTTGAAAACTTTACGTTCATACATTTGATCTGTCTTGGTTGAAAGCTTTAATTCCATATAGATAAAACTAATATTGTATTCTACTGTCGACACAGTAAACCAGGAGGACAGCACTACACACAAATAATACCTATAAGACAAACATGCGGACAGGACACCAACTACACAAACATTGTAAGCAATAAACAACACATATCAAATTACGGGAATGGGTCTGGAGGTCAGACGTAAGCGTCCACTGTAACAGTTTTTATCTTTACTATATACCTATTCCGTGTTTACAGGTAGAACAAAATACTACACGTTTACCTTGATTACATACAGGTAGAACAAAATACTACACGTTTACCTGGATTACATAATCACGTGATGCTAGAAATATAAGTATATACAAGTATATACATACATATCACAGTTAGAAATATAAGTATAAAAACAGCATGTGTCTATATAGTATATACAAGTATACATACATATCACAGTCAACACGTGACCTTCCTGGTCCACAACTATCGTCTTTCTTCACGACTGGTTACATTTGTGTTTACTTCATTTCTTCAACATCTTCTTAACATGGGCGCAGCCATTTTGAATAATGTGGAATGCTTTGAGAATGAGCAGACGTCTCTCACAGACTGTTCTACAAGTGTGTATTATAGTAAAGCGTGAACGGTCAGTTTTACTGCACGCGCCACGCAGTGAGTTCCATTATAGAATGCCAACTTCGTAGACTGTGTTTACATGTACTCCAAGAGTAAAACACAGCCTGCTTCAATATAATGGCACCGAGAAACTGTAAACCGAGGCTAACACAAACCTTTAAATAAATCGACGATTTAAGACGTAAAGAGAAGTTAAAGATACATTATGCAAGCGTTAAATCTGCAATGAAATTAAGTGAAATAGGTTTTAACGTTCTATTGTTCAGGGCCCTGTTTCTCGAAATTTTAACTAAAGATAAAATCCAATTTTAATAGATACTTCAATTTTGATTAGCTAAGCACTAAAATCAATCTAATATTATCCAATCAAATTACTAAAATTTGATTTTATCTTAGTTAAAATTTCGTGAAACAGGCCCCTCCTCCAACTTGCCTACTGGAGACGGGCATACACCATACAGTTTGCGATTAGGGATATTTTGCCGGACAGCCCTTAGCAAAAAGTCCTACAGAATACCAGTGTAGTATTGTATATAATTCTATAGAAAAACTATAGAGTTTTTTTTTGGGGGGGGGGGGGGCGTGTCCCATTTTGTATAGGATAAAATTCTGTAGTATTCTACATAATTTTGGGGCCTGTAGGAAATAACGGCCCTAAATATTCTATAATTTCTGTAGCGCACATCCTATAGTTTTTCCTACAGATTTATGGCAAACATTTCTATAGAAAAATATTATAGTATTCTATAGGGTTTTTTTTATTGCACTTTCTGTAGGAAATTCTACAGTTATGTATAGGAATGAATACTGTAGTAGTCTGTAGTTTGAAAATTGGGCCACTATAGTTTTCTGTAGGAATGGGTACTATAGAATTCTATAGACTTTTTTTTATTAAATCTTATTTTGGGAATAAAACTATAGTTGGCCCATGATTTCTTCTAAATTGATAAGCTTATTTTTCTCTCATGGATTCTTCTAAATTGATAAGCTTATTTTTTCTCTCATGGATAAATCTGAATTCTGTTGATGATTCACCAGCCAGAACCATGAAAAGTTTTTTTTCTTGGTATAACTGAAATATAAGGAAAAGAATAGGTAATAAAGTTAAATAAATAACAAAATCACATAAATCTTATCTAATTAAAGTAATTTAATATTATTGTTAAGAAAGTAATAAAGTATACTTATCTTTCTATCTTTAATCGAATCTGTGAAAAAATAGCACCATTCTCTTCAGTTTCTTGTTAATACTAACATATTAAGTTGTTATACACTGAATTTTTGAATTTAAAATTCAGCCAATGGCCAAACAGATTTCAAGAGAGTACATTGGCTGTTAATTATAATTTGTTGACAGGTATAAACGGCTGACCTGGTGACTTGAACAAATTATATAATTTGAGTACAGAATCTGCTATAGTCATTAAGATCTAACTAGCAGGATCAAATAACAGTCAGACTTCTGTGTTCTAAATAAACTTTGTCTTTATTTCATTGACTTATCTGAAGAATAATTTATTATCTGATATTTTTGTTGTGAAGATCTACATTTACTGGCATTTTTTTGGAGGGTGGGTGGGGAATTCCTTTGAGTGTCAACATGTATTTCATTCATATTATATACACTATTTTATACTTAATATTTTATTTTTCGTGGTAAGCTTATTTTAGTTTGTCATTTGGTATCACAATAAATTAAGGAAAACCGTATCCAGGAAAATTATGTTGGAAAAGTTTACATAATTCACACAAGTGCCTCACTAAATTCTGTTGTAAACTATAGTATGAATAAAAGACATCACCAATTTATGAAATCTGTAGTATAGAACATTGTTTCTACATTATTATGTAGAAAACTATAGTAGGCTATTTGTTAAAATGGTTTAAATACAGTATACATATAAATTCTACAGAAAACTATAGAAGGCTCATGCATTATATTTTTCTCCGCAAAATCTATAGAAAAAAATGTCAGAATGTCATAGAAAACTATAGGATCACACAACTGACTTGAGACAATAAGTTAGTTCTATAGAAAACTATAGTTTTTACCACCAAATCTATAAGAACGCCAGCTGACATGAGAATACATGTTAGTTTTATAGCAAACTATAGTTTTTACCACAAACGCTGTAGAAAACTGATTGATTCCTCAAATGACTCGAGGATACAGGTTAGTTCTATAGAAAACTATAGCAGCACCAATGAATCTGTAGGTTTATTTTTTTTTCCAATAGTTTCTTACAGTATTCTATAGAATTCTGTAGAAAATTACACTTGGAAAATATTCATCTATCAATCCTACACAAAACTATAGTACATGTTTTTGAATCTATAGTCATGTGAAAAAAACTACAGAATGAATTTGTTTTCCTGCAGCATTCTATAGCATTCTATAGAATCCCACAGACTTCTATAGAAACCTGTACTTTTTCTATAGGACTTTTTCATAAGAGCGGCACTAACGCCCACGCTTATATCGAATTTCAATTGCCAGGGGATCTCTTGCGTGCACGCCAACAACGGAAGCGAACCCGCGATCCCCAGGCTAGCAAGCCAGCGTCTTACCCACTTAGCCACCGCGGTTTCCTGTTAAATCTGTCTTTTGCGGATTTTTCGTTTGGCTTCAAATTTCAAATGTTATATAAATCATTAATTAGACATTTATTCACTTGCCAAGTCCATATATAAACAATTCTCTCTCTCTCTCTCTCTCTCTCCCATATAAACAACTCTCTCTGGTTATGTTTTTCAACGGATTTAAACACAATCGCCAATCAATAATTAAATTAAAAACTGGATAATCAAGACTATGTTTATTATCGTAACAACGGTAGGAATGACAATCAAGACTACGCTATTCTTCAAACAGTTATAACATGGCTCAAAAATGGGGTTTAACGTCCAGACAGACGGGTAAACTGAAAACAAAAATTATTAGTTGACAACATAAAGTACCCGAAATCTAATAAAGCACTAATTTTCTTTTTCTTTTACTTGAATACTACGAATTTCAATTTACTAGTTATGTTTTCAATCAAGAAGCGTATACTACACCGTCTATTATTCAGTATAAACCATTTACTAAAAGTCAGCTACATCTGGTACATTTATCTTACATTCACGTATTAAATTACACCCATGGTGTCGGCCATATTAGCCTATGTTTTGATAAAAGATTACAATTCCACCAAGACTTACTCGTTTATTAGAAGGAACCTCAGGGAGGGGGTGGATGGCCGTATGATTAGCAGGTGGGCGCTGTATCATAAGGTTTGTCATTGAGTCAACTGGCGGGGTTTCGATTCCCCGGTTGTAAGTGACACGGAGTAGGGTCGCATGTCAAACCTCGTGGGTTTTCTCCGGGTCCTCCGATTTCCTCCCACTGCTAAAGACCCCTACGGGCAAGCGAATTATTGAAATAAAATTGAACCATGTGTTAGTCCCGAAATGACCTAGTTTGTGTCGAGTGGACGTTAAGCCCCATTTATTTGAAATAGGAGTAATCTGGATTGACTTTATTAAAGATACATTATGTAAGATATTGATAGAGAACTGACCCTTTTTGCTAATATATTTTAAAAATAGATAATGCAAAATGAGTATATTGAAAATTTCATTCAAATTACTTTATTCTGAGTGACGTTATCAGTGTTTGTAGTTTTGACAAGATGTGTGCTTTCATTGATTATTCAGTTTTAAAGTCAATTATTTAATGGCCCAACCACTCTAATCTACGTATGGTCTTGCCATATTAATAACTAAATGTCTAAATAATAACTTATATAACATTTAAGGCCTAAAGAAAGATCTGCTATATTAGGCAGATTTAGCTCTTGAATAATACATTCTTAAATGGATCGGATATTTATCCAGTTAGCTGTAAAGATAGTGGATATTGTGGACGATGCATGATATTCGTATTCTTTCTAGAATGCCACTTATCTTCTATGGAGTTTGCATGTTTTTGCGTCACTTTTTATTTTCAAACCAAACATCAATGTGAACAGACGACTGTTGTCTGAAGCCTGATCATAGTTGTCAATAAATGGATTTGTCTCCCTTGATACTATCTATAGCTAATAACTCTGAATGGCGAAGTATTTACTGTGCATGTTTTCTGGAATTTATTAATAAACTAGGTGATTTCGGGACTAGCATATGGTCAATTTTTTTTCAATTATTCGTAGGGGTCTTTAGCAGTGAGAGGAAATCGTATAAGCGGGGAATCGAACCCACACCACTTGACTCAATGACAGACATTAACCGTTAAAGCACACAGGTACATGGGGAGAGGCACGCCCTTATATGGTGCACCTATACTATATGTCACATGTGATATTTTCAAAATATTTTCTGGGGTTTTTTTCTCAATATTTTTCAAATTTTTTAATCTTCTTTATTTTTCTTCCCATTTGGTGCTAAATCATATAATATTTACTATCAAACATATTCGTATCAATAAAAAAAAAAAAAAATACCTTCTGATGTATTTCTTTATTAGATAAATCAGAAGGTATATTTGATACGAATATGTTTGATAGTAAATATTATATGATTTAGCACCAAATAGGAAGAAAAATAAAGAAGATTAAAAAATTTGAAAAATATTTAAAAAAAACCCCAGAAAATATTTTGAAAAAATCACATAGGTGCACCATATAAGGGCGTACCTGTCCCCATGTACCTGTGTTAAAGCATTCGGTTCTTATTGAAGCTGGCAGATATACAAATATGCACCGTGATCAATAATATTAACAAGATCTAGGTATCGATTTACTGATTTAAAACACCTCATACCACCTATCATTTCTACGAGATCATATACCTAATTTATAAGATCTACGTATCGATTTACTAATTTAAAACATCTCATAACACTTATCATTTCCAAGTGTTCATATACCTAATAAACTTTTGTATATAAAAACAAATTGTCTTTTTTTCATTTTTCGAACGCAAGCGAAATTTCCAATTTCGTTCAAATCTGACCAGAAGTACATAAATATAACAATAGATTAAGTTT